TTACAATATATATTTTTGAAAGCATTCTTACTTTACAGCATTTTTTCACACCTGGCTAAAAGTTTTGCACAGTACTGTATGTGTTTTTTTTAACTGATTAAAAAAATGTAATAAGATCCAGTAATGTGAAACTTCCCAGTTAAAATGTTGGTGCGCTTTGCTCCAGCAATATTTGTTATATAAACTCAAAGTACTCAAAGAAGAAGTAAACTAGAAATAAATGCCATATTTCCTTTCCTATGTAAATAGAATTCCATGTAAAAAAACGAGAATGTTCCATATACATGTGAATGAGTGGCAATTCTTTCAGCAAAACAGAGATGCATTCTTCATGTAGGACAGGATGCACTCAGAGCAGTGTTGTCCAAACGTGGCCACTTTAAGATGAGTGGACTTCAACTCCCAGAATTCTCCTCCCAGCCAATTCTGGGAGTTGAAGTCCACTCATCTTAAAGTGGCCATGTTTGGACAACACTGACTCAGAGTATTCCTAATCCTGCTTATACAGAAAATTGATCAATCTGAACTTGCTTGAAACATGTGCACAACAAACTTCACATTTGTTGCTCCATCATTGCAGTCAATATCCACTCCTCTCTCCTGTGTCTTTGGTTTTTTATATTTTAATAATGATTGTTTTACATTTTAATAATGACTTTTTATAAATATATTTATTGTTTTATTTAATTGTTGTACATTGCCCAGAGTCACTTTTTCATGAGATGGGCAGCCATATAAATTTGATAGAAGGAAGATAGGTAGGAGGTAGTAGTTACATGTCTCCATATTTTTTTCTATTCTTGCTTAAAAACAGGATTCTAACTGTTTCATCTGCAGGAACTTCATTTTAGATGTAAATATAGGGCAACTTTTTCATTAGCGTACTATCACTGTTGAAACATTTTTTTCAGGGAAGCACGAAAGGGGCAGAGGTTCTCACCTGCATCTTCAGAGCAGAATGCAGTCTCATTCTTATCAGCACCAGTACAAGGAAAGCCAGTGGAGAGGGCCTCAGCAAGCTGGTTTCTCCTCTGAATCGCAGCCTCCAGGTAAAAATCACACATTTTACAGCTGAAATACCAAGCTACAATCTTGAAATTATTTATTACCAACTTTTTTCATTTCACTTTTTTTTTTAAGTTAAGCTATGAGTCAGAGTCTTGATCTTAACCCCTGACAATTGTTAATTGATTTTATACTATGAAAATAGTGAGTGAACAAGAAGAGGGCTCATTTTAATTATAAGCAAAAACTAATTTTTCTAAGAATGACAGAAATAAATAAGCACATGAAAACAAAGTTATCTTATTCCAGCATATCTTTCTTTCTCACATATCTGCAGGATTTTCCTGTTTGAGCAAAGCCATTCTGTGTTTGTTTTGTATCAAATTCTTAAGGAATTTCACTAGCCAGCACACCAGTTGCCTGTCCTCTCTTGTTCTAATTTGTTCCTCAGTTCAGTAAAGCTTTTGTACAGAATCTCTGTTGAATGGTTCTTGGACATACTTGAAAGTGAGCTCCGAATTGCAATAAAGGCGGTTCCTGCTTTCAAGCTTGAGTTTTCTTCAGTTTTTCAATGGGACAATTAAAATATCACACTTAATTGTCTGCAATTTGGCTCTGTAATTGTCTGTAGTTGGCAGCCTTGTATTAGTCCTCTTAAAACATCAAGCTTAGAGCATCTGTTAATTTATCAGCTGAAATGACAAAAGTGTGATTTACCATTTTAAACAACTGTCTGATCAAGTCTCTAGCACTTCTTAGCTGCTTAAGCGTTGTGAGAGAGGCAGAATAGGATACTAGTGAAAAAAAAAAAAATTATGGTAACATTAGGAAGGTTTTTTTGTGGGTATCACTTTTTAGCTTAATTTGCCAGCAAGCTCCTTGGAGGAACACTAGAATTCACCTGGAACTACTTTTCACTCAAATCATTCTGAAGACAGATCATCCATCTACAATATTTTTTATAGACATTTATCTTACTTTTTCAAACAAAGGCCACACTGATGGCTGGTTCCAGGAGTTGCAGTGCCAATATGCTTGGAAGGCCCCAGAGTGGAGGAGGATGGTCTAGAGAATCTTGCTCTGTAAGAGAGAGAT